CCCATTACAATTCAAATACGTGAAATCAAAGAAATGCACTTGTATGTCACAGTTTTTCCCATCAAATTTCACTCTTTTCTCAAAACCAACATCATATTTCGAATTAGCGTTAAAAACTGCATCGAACAAGCTTTATTTCGAAAGTTTTAGACTTACTAGACCGAGATTTTTGCTGAAAAATCAAAGTTGTCTAAAACTTTCGAAATAAAGCTTGTTCGATGCAGTTTTTAACGCTAATTCGAAATATGATGTTGGTTTTGAGAAAAGAGTGAAATTTGATGGGGAAAACTGCGACATACAAGTGCATTTCTTTGATTTCACGTATTTGAATTGTAATGGAATGAGCCAATGGTATGTAGAATTTATTTACTCAGAATATTGTAGAGCTTCTCAAGAACTATTTCTCTATACTAGAGTGTAGTTGCATTCTCTCTTGCTCATGGGAGAAAATGGGAAAATTTGATCACTCAAGCATGATCACAAGATAGGGGATGCTTGAAAATAAGGTTATGAAGGGTCAGATAGACTGAAAAATGTGTAAAACCACTTTCTCTATAAAATTTGATCAAAATTACGTCGAGAAAACAGTGAGCCAGAATCAGAGAAAATTGGTCATAATTTACAAAGAATGTATTGAAGACGATTGTGGTTAGTCTTATTAATGTTAATTGTGCGACTTTACAGCAGATAAAGACACTGAATGTGTACCAGTTTCATCAGTGGTTGATTTGAAAACATCATTGAATATAAAGTCTTTAAAACGATTAGCATAAAAATCGGCTTCAACAATTGAACGGTCATCGATAGCCGAACTATTTTCAGCTGTTTCATATTGACGTTGCATTGTTTTACAAATATCAAACCTGAACGAAACATGAAAATAAATGAAATATTATAAATTGTTTACATTATATTCAGCACACTTACGTTTGTAATATATCAAGAATACCAATAAATAATAATAAACGTTCCCCTGCTTCATTTACTGCAGGAATTCCATCAAATTTTAATGTATCATATGTATTGATTGTTTGATATCTCATTCCCATCGTATCACTGGATCTTTCTTGCTTTGATTTATCATTTTTCTCTTTATCATCGTCTTTTTTATCCGTTGTTTCTGATTGACCAACCATAAATGTATCTCGTGCAGATTCCAATAAACTCTCAAGGATGCCAATACGTTTTGGTTTTATTGGATTATCTTTGTTATGTATAGCTAAAGTAGAAAAAAATAATTCGTTTATTGTTCATCAATTTATCTTTTATAGTCAATACCTAATACTAATGAATAATCCATTATATTTAGACTTTCTAAAAATTTAATATCATGTGTTAAAATATCTGTTAAATTTTTATAAATGCTTGGTGATAATTTGATGCCATTTGGATGTAAATCACGAAAATCATTATCTTTGAATGTTGGAGTATCTTTTCTTAAAATAAAAGAGAAAAATAGTTAAAAAAGTACATTCTGTTGAACATTCTGACAGATATACATACCGTTTTTCTATTGCATTAGCATCACGACCAAAACTTGATCCTTTCAAATCATATTTTTCATGTATTTCAAATTTTGACGGAATAAAATTACTAAATATAGCAAAATGAAGTGTAAACGTTTCCATACTAAATCCTAGTTTTTCTTTCGGTATAGATGGAATATAGCCATACAATCCAAATAATTTTGTTATCAATGTTTTTGGACATTTTCTCACATAGTCCATAAAGGTTGATAAAAATTTTTCTTGAATAAATTTGGTATCATAATCTCGAATCGTTTTAACAACAAATTCTTTATCAGCTGAAAGATACAATAACGATCCACTACTTGCTAAAAAAACGATAAATAAACAAAAATTGATATATTATAAAATACAAAGAAATTGGTATAACTAGTGCATCGGCACACGTTGTATTTCGTGAATATAGCGCTTAGCTTTGATCGTAGAGAGTTGAGTTTAAATTCAAAAGATACCCCGTTGATTCCTCTACAAGGCCTGTATCAAACGTTTTTCTGTACAAAGCGAAACAAACATATGAAAACAAGAGTACTCAACACATTTAAAAGGGTAAGGTATTGTTTGATACAGGCTCTGTAGAGCACAACTTCCTAAACTCACGTTTTTTTTTTAGATTTGTTCGTTGCCTAGTGGCCACAAAAGTAAAATAATATAGACATCTGTAGCCCTTGAAAAAGCTCTATCGATCGATCATAATTTGAAAATTTTCATACTCATTTCCTACGACGTACGCCAATCATCTTCTTTTTCAGATTTTCAAGTAATTAGCTGTTTAAATCTGCGATTTCAGAGTTTATGGGAAAAGAGACATAACTACGTCCTTTAGGTTCGGATTTTCTCTATTTTGATGGAAAATGATTACTATACCAGATTCAGAGGCGAAAATTGAGCTAAAATTCTCTTCTTCAATTCATCTGGCGAAAAATATCAGATTTGAGCCATTTTTTAGGATTTTTGAACCAGTTTTTAGGATTTTGAAGTCAGAATTTTCGATCTTTAATTTGCTTGCAACCAACGTTGAGCTTCGTGGCAAGAAAGAGCGCACTTCAAATTATCCTTGAATACCCTTTGGCTTTGTTCTTGAAATTCTAAAAAAGATTACAAATATTATTTAAAAAATGGGTTAGGAAGTTGATCCGTTTGAAGGTATTGAGTATTCTTGTTTTCATATTTTGTTTCGCTCGAAAAACGTTTGAGAGAATTCAATGTCCTATCTTTTAAGTCTAACTTCAACTCCCCACGATCAAAGCTGGCGAAATATTCATAAAATACAAAGTGCGACAGTATTTCTGATGTACCTGTTATCAGTAACTTACCTGGATTTGCAAGTTCTTTTAATTCACCACTATTGACAACGGAATTACGTAAAATACGAGGATCAATACCATAAACATTCATTAAACAAAAGAAAGTATTTAGTGCGTAGGCTTCACAATCGAAGTCCGGTAACTGGTGTGATGGAGTATTTTTCTCTCCTCCTCCGGATGCCGGAAAGTTTAATCGTTCAACATCTTCGGTACTATCATTCAAATGTTGTGTTGTATAAGGGATTTGTTGAAGATTTCGATTGAGATAATAGCCAATGCCTATTTGAAGAGCATTTCGAATATGTTCCATTTGTAGAGTACCATTTTCTAATAATTTTTGTAATATGACTTGTTTAGACAGAGCAGTACTCGTACCAGTAATATTCGATATATGTTCTTGTACACTATGTACCATTTGTACAGTTTTATCATATAAACCTTTCGCAGGATTATCATCAGCCATGACTTAATGATCTTCACACAGTACTGAAATGAATGAAGTGACTTTGTTTCCTATAATAGAAACGCTGTCGAAGATTATCATGTTCAAAATGACAAAAATAAACACTTGTTTTTTTTTGCAAAAAACATACAAAACTACATTCACCAGTAACGTTCAGAAACAAGAAAAAAATGTATATGAATAATTCACTTTTTAAGATTAGAACCTACAAAAGCGAAATACTTTTTTTTTCTTTTTTTGAAAGTATGTCGTAAAGTTGATTCTGTCAGTTGGTAAAAGTTTATTTATTTTATCTGACTTCCAATTTATCCTTCTTTTTCTCTTTCTTCGTACAGTTCTATTTCCCAGTCAGTTTTTCTCTATTTTTTCAAAAATTCTAGAGAAAAGCAAGAAAATCTGAGAGTAATCAATGGAAGGGGTCTTAATAGAACATATTTTTAAAACTAAAAACAGAGAAAAAGAAACACAAGAAAAAAGTTCAAGTTCTTCAGAAAAAGAAACAAAAGAAAAACAAGAAAAAAGTTCTTTACTTCGCGCCAATGGCAAGAGTTTTCATTGCGATGAAGAACATTTATCGCTCGTTGTCTACTTCGTTCATCTGCTTTGCTCCAATAAAGATCCACTACGTGTTATCGAGAAGAAATACCTAGAAGCTAAGGTTAGGCAATGTCTAATAGGCACGCACCCGTTAAAAGCTGGTGTTAGAGCTTCCACAAAAATTGTTATAAGTCGCCTATAAAGAATTGGTCAGAATAGCGGAACCTCTCATTTTGTAGAGAAATGTTTGGACTCCAATCCCATATCGTTAGAAAAATTTCAACGTTATCTTGGTACAAATACGAGTAGTCTAAAATGCACTGAAGTTAGGATAAAACCCTGTTCGAACAGTTTTTTTTCTAACTTTAGTGCATTTTAGAAAGCTCACATTTTTGCTAGAAATAACTTTAAATTTATTTTCACAGTTCGATTTTCAAGAACAAACATTTCTCTACAAAACGAGAGGTTTCGCGACTCTGAACAATTCTTTATAGACAACTTATAACAATTTTGTGAAAGCCCTCACATCAGTTTTGGACTGGTACATGCCTAGCAAGGGGGAAACAGCTAATTTTTGAGCTTAAAAAATCGGTTTAAATCGAAAATCGCCAAAACCGCAAAAATCACTGAAAACTGGTGCAAAATGGCTCAAAAAAGACTGACGTTGAGAGAAATCCTGTCTTAAGTCGTATGAATTCTACTATGTCAGCTAAACGGAACGAGCTTACTTCTCTCTGCTTTATTATCTCTTGCAAGATTTTTCTTATTTCTCACTCACAGCCCTAGTGAAGCTTTTTTTCTCAAGCACATGACTTTCTTGAATTTCTTGAGTAAGAATCTCATGGCGTGGAGACATTTCTTACTCATGCAAAACGCATTTTTTCCGATGTCATGCGCTTGACTTTC